TGTTCAACCTTTCGGAATTAATCTAGATCCTGGAATCAGTGATCTCCATTCATTGGTTTCATCTCTGTCAAAAATAATTTTTATTCTTTGCATATCTTTTTCATGTAATGTGAATGTTGAATTTACTAAAACTTACTATTAATCTAAGATAATTTTCCATACCTGTTTTTATAAGTTGATTAGCATAACATATCTTTTTAATCAGTCTCCAGGTGTCTCCTTTATTTTACTTAAACACTTAAGTACAGTTTTAAATATACATATATTTATCCATTTCTAAAGTAAAATATCCTTAACACCTTTTCACATCGGCTACACTGCATCGGAAATGAGATCCTTTCAACAGTACATAGAGAAATAGACTAAACATTTCCTGGAAAACCAGATGACCTTCATGACGTCACTAAACTCCTTTTATATATATATATATATATATATCACTCATTCATTACACCACCATTCCCAGTTTGCTCTGAAGAAGAAAGGTCCACTTTTTGAAACCGCTCGGGTTATAGGGTTTTTATTAATTTCTTCTTGAAGTGATACAGAAAATACAATGAAACTGCATAGATTTTTGGAATAATAAAAATAACCTAACTGAATTTAGTAGTTAAGATGGATGTTCACTGTTATTGATTAAAACTGGATAATATTTTTTGATCCAGTTAGGTTTGACGTACTGAGAAGCACCGTTAGAAATTGATGGCTTTGTGTGAATTTTACCATGTCTTGTGTACAAAAAACAGAGATAAATGATCAACTTCCATTTGTTACATTTTCAAATATGATTGCTCAACTAAGGATGATTTGTATTATGGTAACCAAATTATGTAACTGAAATTACATTAGGTTTCCCACATTGTACTATAGGTGCTGTAGTGGCTTGTTTGTTAGTTTGTTTTTTGAATTTCGCGCAAAGGAACACGAGGGCTATCTGCGCTAGCCGTCCCTAATTTAGCAGTGTAAGACTAGAGGGAAGGCAGCTAGTCATCACCACCCACCGCCAACTCTTGGG